CTGCAGCATCTCCATGCTCAGAGCCACGGCACTGACACTAAAACACTTTTTTTTTGGCCAGGAACAATTTTATTTTTTGTGCTTCCCCGTCCTCACTGTTTGGCCCAGGTGAAGGCACGGGAAGGTGTCTCYGTGGTTTATCAGATATTTTCGGTTTTTGGGATCGCTCAGCCGGGATTAAGGCAAACACAAACCATCTGTCAGGCTGAACGGAGGTCGGGAAGATCATTTTGGAGAGCCAAGGACAACAGAGGATTTATTGGAAGGATGCTGCATTCCTCCTCCGAGGGAGGCCGCTGCGGAGGAAGCTGGACCCTGCTGCACGTACCGTGAAATTATTGGAAAATATGCCACTTAAAAATTTTTTTATATTCAAAAAATTTTAAAAATTTTGTTCTCCTTTGCCACGGAGGAAGGGTTTCAAAGTCTCTTTCCAGGGCCAATTTTGGTGATGAGAGGAGGAGCTGCTCCCCGTCCCATCCTGGGTTTTTAATGCTCCAAACGCTCTGTTTTTGTGGATAATTCTCCAGCTAATTTGGCAGGATCTGCACGGTGATAGAAAACAGTAAAACACTCCAAATGACACGTTCTGGACAGTTCCTTATGCTCTCTCTGTGCTGCTTCGYTGAAATTCGAACTGAAATTGTGTTCAGAAAAACTTCCAGCGTGTCCCCTCCCCTCCCTCTGAGCGGTCACTGCTGATTGTTTCCAGCCCTGCTGGGTTAAAATGAATGGAAATGATTAAAGAAAGAATAATCGGGGAGCACTTCCAGGGCCCCCCTCTGTCAGCTGAGTGGGTCAAAAACTGCCCTGGGGATCCTCTCCTCGGGGTTATTGGGTGGGATGGGATGGGATGGGATGGGATGGGATGGGATCAGATTCCTTTTTCCTGTTGGGAAGTGGGGAGGATGGATGGGCTCTGCATTCCCATCACGTTCCTCTTCTTCAAATCCATCCCACAGAGGGAGCCTGAGCCCCTGGGGAGCCGTGGATCAGTGTGAAGGACCAGGGGAGAAGGGGAAAAGAAAGGTGAAAATCCCAGAATTTGTAGAGAATTCCTTGAAAGGAGACGTCTTGGAATTTCATTATATTAGAAGCAGTAACATGGACAGTCTGAGGGATTACAAACAAAAAGCCCCTTTTTTTTTTAAGTTCCACACTCCATTCTGCATCATTCCCATCCTTTTCCTCTTCTTTCTTGAAGAAGCAAATCCATCTCACAGAAGGAGCCTGAGCCCCATGGGAGCCATAGATCAGAGTGAAGGGAGAAGGGAGAAGGGAGAAGGGAGAAGGGAGAAGGGAGAAGGGAGAAGGGAAAAGGGAAAGGGGAGAAGGGAAAAGGGAGATGGGAGAAGGGAGCAGGGAAAAGGGACAGGGCAGGTCCCCCTCCTGGAGAACCCCAATTTGGGCACAGCTTCCCTCCTGAGCAGTCCCAACACCGCCCAAGATTTCCCTCCCTCCCAGTTTTCCACCCCGTATCCCATTTATTTATAAATATCTGCAGCATCCTTAACAGGTGCCAGGAAGGAGAGGCMGAAAAAGGCCCATGTGTGGGAGAACTCTGCAAAAACAGGATCTGCCAGGCTTCCTCTGTGGGACAGCCATGCCCAGAGAGACGGGAGGAGGGAGAAGGGAGAGGGGAGAGGGAGAAAGGAAAAGAAAAAAGGGAGAAGGGAAAAGGGAGAAGGAAGCTGTGTATTAGCATGAAAGACCAGGAGAGAAGGGGAAAAGGGTGAAAAAAACCCAGAATTTGTAGGGAATTCCTTGAAAGGAGACAAGCATTGGRAGTACACGGTGATGGAAGCAGTAACATGGACAGTCTGAGGGATTACAAGAAAAAACCACTTTTTTTTTTGAAGTTTCACATTCCTTTCTGCATCATTCCCATCCCTTTCCTCTTCTTCCTGGGCTGAAGATGCAAATCCATCCCACAGAGGGACCCTGAGCCCTCGTGGAAGGATGCGGAGCAGACAGGACGTTTGTGACCCTCCTTTGTCGGGGACATTTGCGCTCCGGCCGCTCTTTCATGGCTCAGGAATGGCYGCAGCCGCTCCGGAACAAAAGTCTCTTATCCCCCGAAGAGCTGGGGATTGTTTGGGTGGCTTTAGCCACCCTCTGTGGCCCTGGGGGCCGCTGGAATGGCAGCAATGTCCCCAGGCTGGCGGGGGAGGGTGGCAGGGATTTTTTGCTTTTGATGTTAATTAGGTTTTCTTTTTATTTTTTTTTCATTAGACTAAGTATTTCTGACTATACTTTTGGGCTGTAAAACTGCACTAATTACTGCCCTAATTAGTGCCCTAATTACTGCTGGGACTCAAAGAATCGGGGACAGAAGGTGAAATAAGTGAAACAGATGCCACAGCAGCGTCCTGGGTGAAGGAATCCGATCCCCTCGGCTTTGCCCGCTCCTCCCTGCGGACAATCCACACCCAGGAGTCTCCTCTGCATCCCTGCAGGATGCTCCAAATCAGTTTTTCCTCTCTCCCAGMTGGACAAATTTGGGAAACTGCAGCTGTTGAGGGAGCTCTCAAAGCCGGGAATTTGCTGTTGGAAGGGAAGCAGCTCCTTACGTCGGTGGAAATTCCTCAGGAAGYGCAGCTCTAAGGAGATCCTCTCAAATTTGGCTTTTCCCGGCCGTCTGGGCTTTCCTGACAGGATGGAGACAGGGCAGAGGAGTCGAGCAATAAGGAAAAGAATCCACTCCAAAGAACAGCTTTTGGCTAAAAATGGAACAATTCATCCAGAGCTTGTGCTGCTCTGAAGTGGCTCCAGTTCTCGGAGATGTTTGGGTTCCTGGCAGGCAAAGYGAGGCCACGGGGGAAAAAAATGCAGCCAGGTCCTGTTTTGTGAAGGAAACGAGGCAAGAATTGAAAATCTTKGAGGATTTCTGACAGAGATTCTCAGGATGAACGTGAAATGTTCAGGGACATCGAATTTGGAGGAATTATGAGCTGCACGGAAATGTTGGTTCAGCTGGGCTGTGAGGATCGGGATCAGGATCAGCCCTTGTCCCAAAGCTCTTAAAGTTTTCAGCACAAGTTTTGCAGTCTTTGGGAGGATAATCTGGTCTTAAAGACTTGGGGAATCTTTGCTCGGGATGTTCAGGGCCCACCCGTGTTTGTACCCACACTGCTGGGCAGCTCCTGTCTCTGAGGGATGGGATCTTTGTGTAATTTATGGCAGCTCTGTCACCCCAAACAGGGATTGGGGACATTGGGGACATTGGGGACATTGGGGACAGCAAAGCCTCAGGCTCCAGGAGTCGGTCTATGTGCTTCTGCCCTGGCATTGGGGTTGGGGTGCACGGGCAGGGTGTGATTTGGGGGGATTTTGGACACTCCAGGATGGCTGGGCCAGTCTCCTGCCTGGTTTTTGGGGTCAGTGTTTTTGAGCCAGGTCGTTTGGGGTCAGTGTTTTTGAACCTGGTTATTTGGGGTCAGTGTTTTTGAACCTGGTTATTTGGGGTCAGTGTTTCTGAGCCTGGTTTTTGGCAGGGTCAGTCTTTCTTCACCTGTTTTTTTGGGGGATCAGTGTTTCTTCACCTGTTTTTTTGGGGGGATTAGTGTTTCTGAGTGGTCTTGCCTGGTTTTTTGGGAGGGTGAATGTTTCTGAACCTGTTTTTTTGGGGGGGGTCAGTGTTTCCGAGCCTGTTTTTTTAGGGGGAATCTGTGGCTCTTGTAGGGCAAAAAGCCAACAAATTTAAAACAGAACAAGTGTTACAGAGGGAGGGTATTTCCCCTGATGCTGGCAAGAACAAGGAGCAAATGAAATGTTTGAGCTTGAGGTACCCTAAATTCAGGGCTCAGAACTCAGGCTGATGCTGCTCCTCACCCCAGAAGCACTGAATTCTTGCACTGTGGGATTTTTTAGGGTGCTTTGGGTTAAAGGACATCACCCCTAAGCCAGACCTGACCTCACTGAGGAGTCATCTCATCTTCTGAGAAACATAAAACTGCTGAATGCTGCAAGTAAACATTTCTATTTTTGTCGTTTGTCTTCCAAACAAAAATAAGAGATGACTCGAGGCTGAGGCAGTAACTGAGAAGAGGCAAACGCAGGGTCTGAGCCCRGGCTGGGATTCAGGCTGGCATTTCTGGGGTCAGCGAGGTGAAATTGGTGCCCTTCAGCCCCGAGGCTGCAGCTGAGCAGGGATTCAGTGTGGATGAGCTGTTCCTCGTTGTTTTATGGGGGAAAACCTTGAGCTGGGGGTGATGTCAGGGTTTGTGTTGCTGCCTAAAAATCAGGCTTAACTGAAGCAGAGGCTAAATTTAAGAGAATGAGAACAGACAACTTTAGTCCAGGCCTAACAGGGCCCCTGGTACACAAGGGCAGACAAAACCTCCTCCTCCTGAGGCTACACCCAAAATGGACCCCAAATCACGAGATCTTCACCTTTTATTTTATTATTTTATAATTATTTTATAATTATTTTATTATTATTTTATTTATTCTGTCTTATGAACACATCGGGCCCCAATTCTCCAATTCCACCTTCAGGTGATGATGTCCCCCACCCCAAACTTGCTCCCTCCAATTCTCTGTTTTCCCATATTTTGGGGTGCTGAGGCAGTGAAGTTTCCTTGGATTCAGCTCAGAGAGGAATTGTTTCGTCTAAAGATGGGAGAACGGTAATTTTAAGTTTTATAATAGAGAAGTGTAAGAATAAAGATGCATGAAAATATAGAAACTAAAAATCCTGAGGCATCAGAGCATCTCAGCAATCCCTGAGCCAAAATTGGGCTGAGAAGAGCTGGGTGAGGTCTCCCCTTCCACTCCAAGCTGTGTCCAGTTGTATTTCTGGCTCCTTGGGTGACTTCCCACCACTTCTGGGGCTGCACAAACCTTCCCCAGAGCTCCAGGGGACATTTCCACCCTCCTCACCCTCCTCATCCTCCTCCTCATCCCCCCAAAGCYGCCCCACTCCCTTCCCTCGAGGGGAATTTCCAAAGTGCCACACTCAGCAAACAAACCAGGCTGTGTTCCCGAAATCCTGTTTGTCCCAGCTGCAGGAATTCCTCTCCAAGAGGAGGATGTTGAATCTCTTCAGAAATCGGGGGTTGTTTACATCCCCAGAATATTTGCTGGGCTGGCTGCAGGGAAACCTCCGAAGCTTTCCTGAGGGCTCCACAAAATCATAATTAAAATGGGGTTGTTTGGTTGGTGGGGGTTTATTTGGGATTTTTTGGGGGGGTTTTCTTACATCCATCATTCCTGAGCCCCAGCAAAATCACAATTAAAATGTGTTTTTTTGGTTGGTGGGGGATTTATTTGGGGTTTTTCTTACAATTATTTCCTGTTCCTGCCCATTCTGTATCTTGGTATGGGGAAAAAGTGAATTTMTGAGGGAATTTTGGCCAAATCCATGGCAGGTGGAGAATGGGAGCTCAGAAATGATGGAAAGTTGAGATTTAAACAGGAGAAAATCCGGAATGACACCTCAGGCTTTAAAAGAATGCCCTTAAAAACCTGGAATAAAACCCCTGGGTGAGACTGGCACTGCCACTGCAGGGACTGAGTGATGGAACAGCCCTTGGGATGTTCTGTCACCTCCCTGGAGATGCAGATGGGTCCCAAACTGGGAGGGGAACACAAAAAAGTGCCCTCAACTGTCCAAATCTGTGGGATTTTTATAGGATCTTCAGCCTGGTCTGATTTTCCATTTGGCAGATAAGTTTGGACACAACTTTTTTCCACTCTGAACACTCCCTGGCCCCTCACTCCTGTCGAGCTTTTTTTACAGTTCCCAAGGGAGAGAAAAGAAAATTGGAGGAAATGTTGCTCACCAGTGTCCAAAATCCCAAAAGCTTCCAAACATCCCCTCTCTGCTGCTTTTCAGCCTTTCTGTTGGTCACTCCCCATGCTAAGGAGACGATGTTTGATGGCTCTCTTCATCTCTGGGTGTAATTTCCCAGCTTTTCCCTCTGCTGGAAAAATCTTGGACATGTCCGGATGGAAAAACCCGCAGTGAAAAGAGGAAAGGGAATTGTTGTCACCTCAGCTGATGAGTGGGAGGCGAATGCAGGTGCAGGGAGAGCCACAGGGAAGGGAATTTGGTTTAATTTCTCCATGTTCTGGCAGAAATGCCCTGAACTCAGTGCACTGAGAGGCTGAACTTTGGCATCTTTGGTGTTTTCTCCCTGCCCCTCATGCAACAAGAGATTTGTCATGGTTTGTTCAGCCTCAGAATCCCAAACTCGAGGCTGAATTTTACCCCACGCTGAAGGAGACGATCCCTGGGCTGTTCCTGTGCTGACTCCACTCCCAAAGTCGTCCCCAAAGTCAGTCCCAAAGTCCCTCCCAAAGTCGCTCCCAAAGTCCCTCCCAAAGTCGCCCCCAAAGTCGCTCCCGAAGTCGCTCCCAAAGTGACCCCCAAAGTCGCTCCCAAAGTCGCACCCAAAGTCGCACCCAAAGTCACCCCCAAAGTCGCTCCCTGCCCCTTCCCACACGCTCCGGCAGCTCCAGCTGCCCCTCCCCGGGGTCACGGGCTCCCGGTGTCCCCCAGGCCGGGGGAGGGACCCGCAGGGTAGCGCTAGGACCTGTGGAACGCTCCTCCCCGAAGATTAGCCAATATTCCCAGGGCAGGGCAGCTCCCCAGCCTTCCCACTCTTTCTTTCCTTTACAAACGTGTTTTTTCCTTCTTCCAGCTCATTCCAGAGTGGCGTTTTGGATTTCTCGCAGCTTT